TGCTGTCCCTTCTAGGGTCAGGAAAAAAGCCCACAGGACTTTCTTTTTGGGTGCAAAATAAGCAAATATTGCACTATGCACCTTTTTTGCACTTGATATCCATGGAGAAGAGCAATGGGAAAGTGGGAACCCGCCCTGATAAGGAATTGTTCGGGCATGACTGTGATTGCTTTAAAAGCTGTGCAAAGCTGGTCCTTCCTTCTCAGGTAGTTCCCATGAGGGTAATTGCTGCCATATGTTTCACTAATCTTGTGTCAGGGAGGAAGTTTGGTCACTAGTGACCTCAAATTCTTAGGTTCTTAAAAGACCTGAAGCAAATGTATTACAAATAAAGCATACTTCTGTTTTCATTCTCTGTAGAACAACGCAATTTCCCTGAGTTGGAAAATAACTCCTGAAAACTGCTGATGGAGATGGGAAATCTTGGAAATAGTTTGTCATAAATATCACATGGAAACAAAAAAAAAACAACCCTCTTTCGGGTATCTATGCTAAAGCGTTTACATGGGAGGAGTACATAAACTGAATGAAGCGATATTTTCTGCGATTCCAGGACTGATACATCAGGAAAGCCCAGTGCAGCACAAAGCAGTATCTCCCCACTAGCAACTGAGAAAGGCAGGCTAAAAATAAATAGTATGCAGATAAATACAGAGATGTTAAGTACACGATGCTGTTCCTGGGTCTTTGTAGCTGTTGATTGCAACAGTGAAAACCCCAATGCAAAGGGAATGTTTTAGCACCGGCTGTCTCAGTCCAAGAACTGAAATTACCAAGTATTTTTAGTAGGTATTTTGCACAAGTAGCCCATTAGAAGCTGAGCATTTGCAATATACCAGGAACAACAGTTAAAGGAACAAGACTTGAGCCTATTCTTGGAGGGGTAAGTAACCAGGTTTGCTTCAGGGGTCCACCTTATTTTGGGGGAATGTAGAGGGTGCACACAACTACCCTGGTTGAAGTTTGGGCTGTGAGGATGGCTGTGGTACTGGGGAGCTGCAGAGCTGTGTGTTATGCAGCCCTAGGCACAGGATAAAAGTTAAAGCCTTTATCACAGTGCACTGCTCTGGGCATCCCATTTTCAAACTGGGGCCCAAAAATCATAAAATCTTAGAATAGTTTGGGTTGGAAGGGACCTTCAAAGGTCATCTAGTCCAAATATTGATAGAGAATGGTTTTTGTCACCTTTCTGGAGCCATATGCTCTATTTACCATGAAGCACTCTGCAAGGTGCTTGGAAGAAACTATCAAAGCTATAGAACTGACCTTCAAAGCTTTCCTGTGTCTCAGAGTTAGCATCTTGGACTCATCCAGAATTGGATCTTTTAGGGCAGCCACCATGTCTGGGGAACAGAGCAAGGGACTGTGCAGCTGGTCAAAGCCAGTTTGATAGCTCCATATCTGGGGTGTGTGTACTTAAATCTGTACTTAAATCTGTGTTAAACTTCCATTTAGAAAGTGTGGCTGAAATGTCTCCCCAGAGTGCCTCTTTTGACCTCTAATCCCACTGACTTTTCATACGTAAAGTGGGAAGCTGTCCTGGTTCAGTGCTCAGTGAGGATGGAGCTGTGAATGGGGAAGAGGATGAGGTGCCTGAGTATAGCCACTTTTCTTGTCCTGTTCTAGTTCACAACCATGCTGGTCATTTAGAGGCTAATGCTCAAATTCACTACCATTTTTCTAACGAGTTATGTACATAGGCCATTGTAAAAACAAGATTGTGGGATAATAGCTGTTAAATTTCAACTCATTTAGACAAAGCCTGTCAGCTTGCTGAGATCCTACCATAGACTGTAGAGGCAGGAAACAGTCACACGAGGTGTTACGAATTAAACCCAGCAATCCTCTAGGAAATACTCTATAAGAAAGAGTCATTTGGGTACTAGAGAGCAAGAAAACTCCCAATTGCTTCCACCATTTCACAAAGATTTTCTGCTTGCTACCAGAGCTACAAGAATTTTTAAGCAGGTTGCCATGGTTTGCATTCCCAACTCCAAAAGATGAAGACATTATTATTAGTCTGAAGATTTCAACTAAAAAGTGGTTCCTCCAGTGCCCAGAAGGTTATGGAGAGAGAACCAGAGAGCTTGGAGCATTGGGAACACCATAGGGGAATATTGAAAATATTTGTTTTCCTGCACACGTAATTACTGCCTTCAGAGTTACCATTAAAGAAAGCAATTTCGGACTGGAGGGTTTAAATAGGATGTGGAACCATAACACTAGGTAATGTTAGTTAATTGCAGAGCTGTAACAATACATGGTATTTCAGCTGCCCTAAAACATAAGTCTTAGTTCAGTAACCTTTAAGATTTGTTATTCTTTGCCTTATCATTGAGTTGTAACATCATCTAGGTGGTTATCTCTGTGAGGTTTAAATTTCCAATCTATTAAAGTAATTTTGGCAATCTATTATTTCTAGGCCATTGAGGAAAGGTTAAAATGAAAATTATACCAAAGGGAATAAGTTCTGTTCCAAGTACAGGTTGAAAACATCTCAGTAGTAGAAAGCAGTAAGGTTTCAAGGGAAAAGGCACTTATCAAGGGAAATGAAATGACTGATAATAGTCATTCAAACTGATTTAAAATGATTTAAAGTGATTAAAGCAGCTTGAGTGAGGTAACGTGAAAGGATTTTTTTCCCCCACTAATGTAATGGAGAATTTGGAGTGCATGATTTAGACAGCTTCTGCCTCTGAGCTGGTTTTGTATGGCTGAGTTAGACTTTTAGCACTGTATTACAGGAATGGAAAGTTTCATTTTCAGGAGTGCACAGGAAGACTAGCATCCATCTTTGCACAGCCATCCACACAGTTTAAATAGAACTACATGGTGCAGGAGAACCAGTGAACGTAGGCATTTGGGAACAGCAGTGCACCCAGCTGAAGAAGCTTCTACATTAAGACCTCCTGGATACCAGCTGGACAAATCATCACCAAAACTTAAATCCATGCAGTTGTGATGGGCAGAAACAGCAATGATGTGCTTTAGCCAAGCTGAGTGTCGTTCATCTTGACTTATGGACTGACTGACCAATATATTCCTATTGCAGCACTGAGGTTTTTGTCATTCTCATTCACTCAGTGTCTCCTCCTGCCCTGCACCCCATGCCCATCTTTGCTGCTTGGCTTTGGATGGAGCTGAGTGAACGTGGGCTTGAGCCCTGTGACTGTGAGTGAAACCAATCCAGGGAACAAACCCCATTTATACCTGTTGGTACAGAAACAGCAGCAGCACCAAAACCTTGGAAAAAAACCAAACCAAACCCCAGTCCTTAATGTTGTTTTTCCTTAATTGTTTTTTAGTACAATAGAAGCAGTTGATTTTATTAATTTTTATGGTGCTGTTGGGAAATTTAATAGTCCTATAAAAGCCAGTTTAAACCTCTGTAATTGTCTTATCTCTTCAAATAAATGCATACTCTGGGAATTTTAAAACTGGAGACTATCAACTGGATAGAGCCATTACTATGAATAATTCTGCTCTTACAGCAATACAGAGCCTCGACACAATAGACAATAGCCTCTGTGGCTCGTATGGGGGTGAATATGCCAAGGCTCACTAAAAGGGACGTTTTGTTCATTGACCCCCGTCTGCTAAGGGCTCCTTTGGAGCTGCCACGTGTGCAAAGCAAATTGCAAGGCACCCAGGCTTCTGGTCAAACGAGCAATTTCAGGGCAAGTTGTTTAGAAACAAATAATTCAGTCACTTAATGTATTTTCACATAGTAAAAGCAGTTAGACGCTGGGAGGGATGAATGCACGTTCAGTGAAAGGAACAACTGGTCTGGGGCCACTGGAGGTGAGGCTTAAGGAGGTGGAGGTATGGGAAGTTTTATAGCAGGGCATAGACTTTTAAGGCTGAGAGTCCCAATTTAGGCAGAGAGAAGAGGAAAACGGACATTTCAAAGCAGTGCAGGGCTGAGCACCCCTGCATACCCTCAAAAATGTCACTATGGGTCATGCAAAATCTTGATACAGTATGTTATTTTAAAAATGAAGTAATGTGTCAGATGTGCACAAAGCAGATATAGCTGTATCTACAATACAGGGAGAGCATGCATCACTTCCAACACAAAAGTGTGTTCCCTAATTCAGTTTTCTTCTTTTTTGCATACATCCACAGAGCTACACTGTAGAGATAACCACTACATGAAAATGACTGCCAGCCCTGTTTTGCTGTGCTGCTATTTTTGTGTCTCTCTGATCATTTCAGAAACCAGCCAAGCCCTTCTAGCTCACCCCTTCCCATTGCTCACAGCAGGCAGCACGACCCAGCTTCACCCTAGCATGGAGCCCATGTGCGCTGCTTGACCCAACAGCCCATCACCCTAGTCTCTCAGGGGTTGCCATAATCATGGATACCCAGTCTCCTGCAAATAGGGCTTGTCTCACAACTCCTTGAGGCAGTGTTTTTCTCATAGGTCATGCTCCTATTAAGTTATTCTTCCTTCTGATGATGTTTTTCACAGCTGCATTCCCTTTCTGAGGCAAATGAGACTTTTGAGGCAGGGACTGTAATGAAGAGGTTTTGCCTTCTAGGATCATCCCTGCTGCTGACAGAAGTTGCAAGACAGATATGTTTTATGCTCTTCTGCATGCCAAAAAGAGAAAAAAGAGAATGAGAGCAACAGGTCCTGAATGACGTTTCTGTTTTTCTTCATGAGATCAAATGGCTCCTCACCCTTCCCAAGAGCTGGCTGGTACCAGGGCTGCTGTACATAGGCTGGAGCTTGAAGGATGTGCAAGGACATGGGGCAAATAGGTGACAAATAGTGAAAGAGGACATCCTGGGCTCGTTCTGCATCCTCCAGATGTTCTGAAGTTCTTGCAAAACATCTTTGTATATAGCTCAAAGCTACGCTGTTTGGGAAAGGGTTGGGTTTGACCCATATCTGTGAATAGTGCGGTTGCTGGTCACCCTTCTCCTTTCCCTCCTCTGCCTGCTGAGCCAACGAGCAGATACAAGCTAAATTCTGTTTTAATGATTTTTAATTTCAGAATGAAAGACACCATCTGTGGCATATCCTGTTTATGTCTGCTGCTCCTCTGCAGACTGCAAACTGTTGTGCGTGTCAGTGCGGAGCTTCTCCACTTGATGAACTTCAGGTTTGTTTTCGTTGTTTTTTTCCCCATAATTGTGCAGAAAGAAAGTAAATTCCAATTGCAGGGCTATTTCTGAAAGTGTTCTTGGCACCTGTGTTGAGATCTTGTCTCAAAGAGGAAGCGTTAGGTCCACAGTTCCTAAAGGCAGACGTCCTGATGAATTCCTCATAGAGTTGGTTGAGCGGCAATTCATCCAGCGACTTGTGGAGGACTCGGTGCCTCTCTTCCAGATAATTGAACTTTAATTTATTTAAATTTAATGGAAAACCATATGGAGAGGAACAGAAAGCTAATTTAAAGCACTCCTCAAAGCAATCAATATGTTAACAGATTCCTTCAATTTACCACACTTGGTTGCTGAAAAATGTTTCAAATGTATGGGTTTTCAAACTGGTATTATGAAAACACAGGGTTTCTGGCATGTTGTATTCAAAACTCAAGAGCAAAAATAAGCTCTGTTGTGAAAATGAAAGTGTACTTTGAAAGCACTAATTGTTTTATTAGAAGTGGGAATGACAACTAAGCTATAGTTCATCCAAAAATCCACCAATCTGAAGTCTTCTCAGAAGACACATACAGATCCTAAAGGGTTCAAATCACTGGCTTTCATACGGCCCAGAAATAAAAGCAGAAAATTAGTTGTATGGATTACATGAACAGATTGAAACTGGCAGTAAGAATACATGAAGGAGCCCTTCAGTATAAACGGATTAAGTACAGATTAGAGCAGGAGAATGCAAAAATACCAATTATGTACTTCAAAGATGAGAAACAAACTTTTGTCAGTTTTCATATTTCCCTTATTCCTTTGGCACACCTCAAGGTCAATTCTTTCCATACTGGGTTTTGAATACAGACTTTCAACAGATTTCTCAATGTCAGAGTATCTAATATCTCTTCATCGGGGATTGTACTGATAGGGCAAGAGGTAATGGATTCACACTTAGACAGGGGAAGTTCAGGTTAGATATAAGGAAGAAGTTCTTTACTGTAAGGGTGGTGAGGCACTGGAATGGGTTGCCCAAGGAAGTTGTGAATGTTCCATCCCTGGCAGCGTTCAAGGCCAGGTTGAACAGAGTCTTGGCTGACATGGTCTAGTGCAAGATGTCCCTGCCCATGGCAGGGGGTTGGAACTACATGATCTTAAGGTCCTTCACCACCCAAGCCATTCTATGAGTCTATGATTCTATGCTTTTACTCTTAAATGCTGATCTTCAAACACTGACCATCTCCTGTCTCACATTCAAATGCTTATATTGTTTTGCTCTCAGCAAGGCTTAATTTAATTTACTTACACTAAACAAACAATCTGTAGGCAATTTAAGATCCTAGAAAATAATAAATGTCCTAATTATATTTTATCTTATGAAAACATAATGTTTTAGTGATGTCAGTGAGCTGGGAGCTTTATATACGCAGTAATTTACATTACAGTTAAATCTCTGTCAAGCTTGAAGAGTGCAAACTCTAAGAATAAGCGAAAGCCTGTTCTTTCAGCAAGTTTAATAACTTGAGATTGTTAAGAAGGCTGGAAGCTGAAAGGAGCAGTTACTCCCTGCAATGAAATGTTAGCAACCAGTACAAAGTCTTATGGAAATTCTATAAATAGTCTTCAGTCTAACCTCACTGAGGGCAGGTCTGACTTCTCTGTGGCTTTTTAAAAACAAATTATTCTAAGCAGCCTTTTTTTTTTTTAAAGGTGTTTTTTTATTTTTCTTTGGTAAGCAAATGATCCTGCAGCCTTTTTCATTATCAGAGGCCTGGAATTCATTTCAGATTTGCCAAGTCCTTTCCCAGAAACTTATTAGCACAGTGGTACAGCTTTGCAGAGATTAATAGCTCCGGAGGAAAAAGAGCAAGTATTGGCTACAGTAGCTTTCTTTTTCTTTTCCTTTTTCCTTTTTTTCTTATAATGTATTATTCTGTTTCTTTGTATCTTTTCCCCCTGGATTTGTTCTCTCTTGGGATAGTCTTGACTATAGAGTAACAGATAATGAAAATCCTGAGGTCCCGCAACCATTGCTTATTTCTTGCGAGATCAATGTAATAGTAAAACTCGTGGATGCCGAATGAAAAGACTCTTTTAAATAAAATGTATCATAAAGCTGGTATAATTAAAGCATTTGTTTTTCAGTGCCTAGTCTGCTGCAAGCAATTTCACCTATAGTATAACATTGAGGAGCTGGGAATTGTATTTTCTATGAGCTTTTTAAGGCCCTATGGAAAAAAAACATTATGATCAGTAAAAAAACCTTAAAGCCATTAGAATGCCAGCATACCAAAGAGAGAGTACAAAGCCAATGGCAGCATTCCAGAATGCCTAAAATGGCCAAGACATTGTGGTGTGTGATGCCCATTTGACCATGTTGAGAACTGATGGCTGTGTAGCTTTGACTGTCCACACCACCTGCATCCTGAAAACAGCTCTGAATACAATGGGGGGTGGCCTCGCACCTTTCCAAATATCCCAGCCCTGCTGATTTGGTAGAAGGCAAGCAAAATGTCTCCAAGTCAAAAAAAGCCCTTGTGCTCTTTCAAGCAACCAGCAGCCAGAAGAACCAAATTCATTAATAGCCTAAATATGGTTCAATCAGAGTTCATCAACACCTACTCAACTAATCTCCTTTCAGATCCTTGTGGGGAACACCATCTTTCAAAGCCTTTAATTTCTAACCTAAGGATTCTTTCTGTTCTCTTACCAAATCCCACCCAGAAAGCTGCAAAGATCCATCTTAAAACAATTTCTGTTCTTTCTTCCACCACTGTGTTTGATGAAGGGTTTCTAAAATTCAGTGTGGTGATTACAGACCTTCTAATTTCACACTTAAACATATTCAAGACCGATATACGTATCTATATCTATCTCTCTATATATATCCCCACTTGATCTTGTACTACCCTTCAAATAGATAATTCTTCTGGTTACCCCAAGACGATTTTTACAGAAAATTATAATATCTTTCTTGGTCTTTAATTTCCTGCCTTTCCCTGTGGTACCTGAGCAGCTGAGTTAGTTGAGCCACTGGCTTTGGCTGCAAGACGTGAGCCACTCTGCTGATTTTACTTTACACTCTTTCTGCAGTTCTGGTGGACCAGTGCCTACTTATATGACCCTTCTCAACTTTTTGTGGGAAATCAGGGGCAGTGGTAAGGGACAGTCAGTGTGAGAGCATTGCTTTATTTGTTAAGCAGAAACCTCGTGACAATAATGATGATGGCTTTATGAAATTAGTGGTGTAAGTGGTTGAAGTTATGAAAGGAGCAGGCAATAATAGGATTTTAAATGACTAATTCACATAGGATTTCAAAGGCTTACTCACAGGCTAAATTGGTCTTTGTATTTTTATATGGTAAGTAGTGAAGTGGTTTCTTTTATTTATTCAGGTCCTTCTGTTAGAGACCTATACCCAAACATTGAGTGTCCTGTAACTTTAGACACCTGCCTTTGGAAATTGTTTCACAGCAGGAACCTCATTAAACATCATTTGAGATTGACAGTGAAGTGTTTTGAAACACCATAGGCTTCCTGTCTGCCTTAAGCCTTCTGTCAGCTTGGCTGTATAAACATACACCGAAGTGCTGATGGTCATGTACTTGGCAAGGGGAAGGTACCATGGCAAAGTAAATATGAGGTCAGCACTGACTCCTGATGACTAAGTGATGAGAGATGAGACTTGGCCAGTAATGGGCCACTTGCTGTATGTCTGCACTTCCCACCTCTGCTTGGAGGGCAGTGGGTGTTGGGGCTCCCTCTCATGAGGATGAGTTCCTCTCATCCTCATCTTCATTCTCATCCTTGTCTTCTGCATATGTGGCTTGCTCATCTCCATTCTGCTACCCTGTAACTCAATTTTGTGAGGAGAGAGGTGGATCAGATCCTCCAAGGTGGAGCGGTGGAGACAGCATCAACGCTGCAGACACTCAGGGTGTGATGGAAGGGCTGCACAAGTCACCACTGACTCATGACCTGAAAACTGTACCATTTGTTGAGCCTTGTACCAAGGAATGATCATGAGCAAGGCATGGGCCTTTGAGGGATCCAACACTTCAAAATCCCTGTAGCCCACCAACAACCAAATATGTCTTCCCTTGCATATGTCACTTTAACCCTGTTTAGTGTTAATTCTTCAGGGCAACCATTCCACAACTTGTCCTTCAAGAGGAAAAATAATTAAGGAAATATGCAGTAAATTAATATTCACAAATATGACCTGAATAAGGTAAATGGAGAAGGATGTTTGCATTGAGGCTTGCTCTTTTAGTAATGCCGCTGTGATTCCCTTCATCTCCTGAGGAGGGAATCCTAGAATGGTTTGTGTTGGAAGGGACCTTAAATCTCATCCAGTTCTGACCCCTGCCATGGGCAGGGACACCTTTCACTAGAGCAGCTTGCTCCAAGAACAGCTTGATTCTTTCTGGCCCACAACTTCATCTCCTGAGAACCAATGTCACAGGACTCAGCCTCTCCAGCTCCCAAACTTCAGCAAGCTGCTGACCTTGGGTATGTTGGGTGTGCTTCCAACAGGTGAATGCAGGTGTCTACAAACTGATAGTAATTCATAGTTAGGCAGCTACAATCACAACTGAAGCGTGGAATCCCTCCACATGCTGGCAATGTGATTAATTACCTTGTCTGTAAAGATTTAAAGCTCATTGAAAGGAAAATCACAAACCTCTGGCTCACAGTATCACAGGGCCTCCTATAATGACACAGCTTAAATGAAAATGCCAAACATAGCAATGCTGAGCCACACAGAAGATGGGATCTCCTCTTCCCACAGTCACAAGCACAACTGTGGTTAGCTTTCCAGGCAGTTGGTCACAGGCTGGAGAGCCATGTGTGCTGTATGTGTTATCATAAGCCTTTGATATAAGCCCAAGAAGAGCATACGCAAGCCTGAAATGACATGCTGTACAAACAAAAGGATGCATATGGAGGTTGGAGGAACACACTGGGGAGAGGAAGGGATAAAGGAGCTCTGAATCCTGCTTGCAGGTTGTGT